GGGGCACCTGCTGTGGCATCTACCTTCCATTGTGAGACCCTTAATCCCCTGTGATCCCCCTAGGCCCTCCCCTCTCAGCTCTCCCTCTTCTCTGCCCTCAGAGAATCAGAGTGGGCTTCTGATGTGGTGGCATCTTCCAAAAACCCACCCTGATCCCTGGAGGACACAGCTAGGAGGACTCAAAAAAAGCGGTGGCATAAGAGGGGTCTGGAGAGCCTGAGCCGGGCTGGCTGAGCCCTGGCTGCAGCGCCAGCGCACTTTGTTCCCCCGGGGATTGCTCTCAACCAGGATCCCCGACGGCTGGGAGGGGAAGTCTGAGCTTCCTGATGCCAAAGGCGGTGGGTACCTAAGCCTAGGATGGCAAGGCCAGGACCTGTGAAGGCACGGGCGGGCACCTTGCAGCCTGAAAATTCCCAGAGGTGTGTTTGGCTACCCTTCAAAGGTCCTGCTGGGTGAGTGGGCCAGAGGACCCCTGGGCTTGATGCTGAATCCATTTGTCCATCCCGGTTCCCTGCCCTGCTAGCCCAAGGAGACTTAGCACTCAGTCCCCCAGCCCTTGGATGGAGGCCTCATCCTCCATCCTGATCCTGGCCATGGAAAAATCAAAGAAAGGACCTTATTTGAAGAGGGTGCCATCGTACTGGCTCTATTTCGGAACCAGTCCAGTTCCTAAACGAACCATTGGCTCTGAATCTGTTTCTAAATTCGGAAGAGTAAGAATGTGAAAGGGACAGGTAGGCAGGACTCCTGAGTTCGCTCCGGCCCCAGGGCGCCCTGGGCTGGGACCTGTCTCACAGCGCCGTCTCCAGGTCTGCTCCCCACCCCCATCGTGGGGCTTGAGATGGAGACCCAGCCCGGGGCATTGGGCTGGGGACCTTAAGGGCCAGGGACACCCACAAGGGGTAGGGGAGAGGCAGGGGGCGCCGAGTGCGTGGTGCCCAGTTTGGCCGCCAGGAGGCGTGGCGCGGGTCCCCGCGCCGGGAGTCACCGCCGGCGCCGCCGCATCGCGAGTGTCCTTGAGCCGCGGGTGACAGTGGCTCTCGCCGCTTGCGCCCCCTCCTCCCGCAGGGGCAGCCTGATGCCACGTTTCCTATGAATTATTTATCGCCGGCCTAAAAATACCCCGAACTTCACAGCCCGAGTGTAAGATTCCTGCCGAGGGGAGGGGGCGGGGTGCCCCCGGGGGCAGAGCGGGATCAGCCGGGAGGGGGCAGTTAGTCTTGGAGCAGCCAGAACTAGGTGCCCCAACAGTGGGGACAAGATGGAGGGCCAGGCTCTCTCCTGGCGCCTGGGTTCAGATTTTAGCCAGGCAGAAGCGAGCCAGGGAGGGAGGGAGGGAAACCCGACGGCAACGGAGGGGCTTCCCCGCAAGGGCATTGGGTCCAGTGGGCAGGGCCTCTCTAGTGGGAGGAATGAGCACCGCGGATGGGTGGGGCCACCTCCTGGGGCCAGAGCTCCAGGCCTTCGAGAGGGGGAAGCCTTCAGTGTCCGCTGTGTGAGTGTGAGTACGTGAGGGTGTGTGGTGTGTGGTGTGTGGTGTGTGGGCGTGCGTGTGCACATCCTTTTCGGAGAGCCTGTCCGAGGTATGGGGAGCCAGGAGAAGGGCAGGGGTCTAGCATGTGAAGCCTCAGGTAGGTACCAGAGGACTACCTTTGCCACCCTGTGCCCAGGGTTTTTAGGATACAGTGTTCAGCAAACATTAGTGGCCCTTCAGGAAAGGGGTGAGACCCAGAGTGGGTGGGCAGAGAGTCCCTGAGACAAGCCTCTGCCCTCCAGGAGCCCCCAGTCTACCTGCCGCAGGGCAGGATGGAAGGGCCATTGCAGAGGCCAAGCTCAGAGCTCCCAACCTGGAGAGGACCTAGAGGTTGTGTCTTCTCCCTCCAGGTCCAGAGTCTGATGGATCCAGGAAGGCAGGCACTGGCAGGAGCAGGATTTGGATTGGGCTCTGAAAGACAGTGGAATTTTGTCAGGAAGAGGACACTCCTGGCCAGGGAAGAGCAGGAACCAGGGCCTGGAGATGAGAACAGTGTGGGCTGTGGCCACTGGGCTGGCAGAGTTGGGGGATCCATGAGGGGGAAGACAGTAGGTTGGGGTCAGGATGTGGGGGGCACTGTGCCCGAGACTAAGCTGTTTGGACTTCATTTGTGGGCACCGGGAGACAGTTGTCCTACTTGAGGAGGCACACAGGGGCCAGGGGAGAGTTTTGGCAGCCCAGTGGCACAGGCAGGTGGGTGGGAGGGAGGTGGAGAGGGGAGGTGGGAGGCTGGGGGAGGAGTGGCTGGGCTAGTGATGTCATGCCACTGGGCATGGCGGCCACCTGGTGAGGAGACTGGAGCCCAAGCCTGCTTGAATCTGTCTGCCCGTTGCTTTGTGGGGCGCAGAGTTGCCTGATGCCAGCTGTCCCTCATTTGAGACCCTCTGGCTAGAGGCACAACCTCCTTCCACTTCTCCTCTTCTCTGTTCCCCCCAGGAGGACATCTTGGAGAGAGGTTCTGGGGGCAGTGCCCCTTTAGGGTTAGGAGAGGACCTGAACCCTTGCTATAGATCACACTGTCTGAAAGAAAGAAATAGGAACACAGGTGTCATTTTAAAGTTTCTTATAGCCACATTTTCAAAAGTAAAAAAAAAAAGACAGGTGAAATTAATTTTAATAGTGTATTTTGTTTAATTAATATATCCAAATGTTATTTCAACATGTAATCAATATAAGACCATCAATGAGGTGGCTTTCATTTTTTTATGCTCTCTCCATATGCAGTGTGCATTTCACACTGACAACATGCTGGGTTTGGATGAGAAACATTTCAGTACTCTACAGTTGCCTGGGGCTGGGGATACCGTATTGGCCAGCACAAATTGAGGACCGAGAGCTCATTGTTGGGAGGTGGAAGTGGCAGGAGGGTTGAGGCTTCCTGAAAGTGGGCAACCTGTAGGGACTAGAGGCGTGGGCAGAGATGAGCACACTGGCCTTGTTAAGAAACAGAGAGCATGACAGCGTGTGTGTGTGTGTGTGTGTGTGTGTGTGTGTGTGTGTGTGGTGCTGGGGATGGAACCCAGGTCCTTACCCATGCTAGGCAAGTGCTCCATCACTGAGCTCCAGCCCCAGGCATGACAGTGCCCTTTGCTGTCATGATTTTGCAATCCCAGATTGATATTAGCTTCAGCTACTTCTAAGAATGTAAGATCCCATCCCAGACTCAAACAGGTCTCCAGACTGACATTTTCGTTAGTGCACCAGGAAACTGTACACACGGGAGATTTCAAGGGCATCAACATGAACCCAGTTTCCCTCCCGTGTCCCAAGTCATATCTTCCCAGCCTGAAATTCTACCACGTGGTGTTTTAGCTTAAAGCTCTGACTGTCTGTAAACTACATCTCCCTGGGGAATGATAATGCTTTGAGCTATTATCAGTCCCTTTTACCTTTGTGTGCATGAGCTTGGGATCCTAAGCTAAGAGAAGGTCTTGCTGGGGAGGCAGAGCTTGAGGAGAGTAGGGAGGGCAGGGTATGGTGGGAAGGAAGGAAGTTTAGAAAAAAAGAGGCTGGAGGGGCTAACCGCAGACCTGCTTGCTGATTCTCCGGGTTGGACTCTGAGTTCCTGGTCCAAGTCTTACCCATATTGAAATTCTACCACTCAGTGTGGAGCTCTGTGCCCATGTCACATTTCTTATCTAAAGAGTCCCTTTGTGGTCTCCATTGGAGTGATCTGGTTGGCAACCCTGGAGAAAAGGGGTTTCCAGAATGTTCCTCCGTGGTCCTTGCACTTCTCCTCCTCCTGTCTCCCTTAGAGAGAGCTGGAGACCCAGGTGAGCCCTTGTGCCGATGCTGGGTGAGAAACTAGACTCTGGACAAAAGGAAGAGAGAAACGTGGTGGTGGGCAGGCAGCAGGTGGCCCTGGAGGACAGCTGGCGCCTGTGCCACCGTGTCCTCAAGCCCTCAAGCCCCGTCCTGAAGGAAGTCTGACTTTCAAATGTGGTTTCTGGGGTGTTTGAAGCAGCTTTTTTTTTTTTTTTTTAAAAGCTGCATTTTTGTTACAAAGATGTGCAAATTGTGTAGGGGGCACGTACCCCTCAGCACCCTGGCACCCTCGGTTCAGAAGTTGTTAGTGAAGGAGAGGAGGAGTTGTAAGATGCCTTGGGGTCTCAGGTGCCCCTGCCCTGAACACTCAGTGCCACCACACTCATTCTGGGGACAGCTGCTCCCAACTGAACCCACGGTGGGAAGGGTGGTGACGATGTCCCATGTCCAGGAGGAGGCGTCTCCAGGCAGAGCCACACAGGGGAGGGCCCTGGGGCTGGCTCCAAGGAAGCAGAACTCTGAGCAGTTGCAGCGTTGTGGTAAGGGACAGATGGAAGATCCAGTTTGGGCTTCAGGGAGGATGGGAGTGGGACATGGGGGTGTCACAGAGCTGCCTGCCTTCACCCAGTTGAGAGGCTGTCATCTATAGGATATGATTGCTAACGATAGCCAATAGTGTATTATCACATGTAAGCCCTCACTGCTGTGATGAGCTCAGGCAAGAAAACATGGCTCAGAGAGGCTAAGTGACTCTATCAAGATCACACAGCTAGTAAATGGCAGAAGTGGGACTTGAACGCTGGTCTGTCTGATTCAGATCCATGCTCTGAATACCAGACTAGCATTTTCAGTGCGCCTTGCTAGGGCAGAGCCCCAATGGCTGGGCTTTAGAAGGCCTATAGGGGGCTGGAACGCCAGGCCCACCCTCATCGCCCCTGGGCTCTCCCTGATCAGAGGCTGTCAGGGAAGTGGTGGAGGCGAAGGAGCTGGCAGCTGGAAGGGGGAGCTCCGTCAGAGGCCTCTTGGGACTCATATTACTCTCCGCAGCTTGGCTCTTGGTTCCTCTCCGAAATGACCATGGAGTGTTGTTCAATGGTAGGATGGAGGGTGACAAGCCCCTGTCCTGGCTCCTGTCCCAGCCCTGTCCCTCTGAGGATGCTCAGCTAATTGCTGTCTCTTTCTCTGTGTCTGTCTTTGTCTGTCTGTCTGTACCTCTCTTTATGGAGGGAGGTGTGCCCCTCTTCTCTTTCCTTTTTTGGATGTGTCCTCTGACCCTCACATCGTGTCTGTCTGTCCATCTGCCTCTCTCTGTGCATGTCCTGGTCTCTCCACAGGACCCTCTGGTGGACATGGGTGGGGCCCTGGGGCCAGCCTTGCTGCTCACCTCGCTCCTTGGTGCCTGGGCAGGGTCCGGCTTGGGGCAGGGCCAGCAGGCTATGACAGTGGCCGTGGTGTTTGGCAGCTCAGAGCCACCGCAGGCCCAGGCCCAGGCCCGTATCCGCCTCACCCCCCAGAACTTCTTGGACCTGCCTCTGGAGATACAGCCGCTCACTGTGGGAGTCAACAGCACCAACCCCAGCAGCCTTCTCACCCAGATCTGTGGGCTCCTGGGTGCTGCCCGGGTCCACGGCATCGTCTTTGAGGACAATGTGGGCACCGAGGCAGTGGCCCAGCTCCTGGACTTTGTCTCCTCCCAGACGCACGCGCCCATCCTCAGCATCAGCGGGGGCTCCACGGTGGTCCTCACCCCCAAGGTGCTGTCTGATCTCTTGTGCCTTCCTCCCTTCCAGCATGGGACTGGGGACCAGGGCTGAATCTGGAGTGGGAAGGGGTAAAGTCCTGGAGGCTGGGACTGGGTGGGGTCGGCAAGGAGGTGACTTGAGGGAGTCGGGAGACTCTGGAAGGGTAGTCCACGTTCCAGAAGATCAACTTTCTGGGCTGCTGTCCCATTTGTGTCTGGATGAGGGTGGGCAGTGGCTGCCCTGTCTGGTGGGCTGCCTGCCTCTCAGCCCTCCCCTGTCTGGCTCCAGATGGGGGGTGGGGGGCAGGGACCAACCGGGGATGGGATCTGACAAAGTGCCCCACTGGGCAATTGAAGTTACCCTCAGGGGATAGCATTCCAGGGACAGGTCACTGTCCAGGCATGGGGGGAGGAGAACCAATGCTGCTCTCACAAATGCGCTGTCCTCGGAGTTTCCTGGGGAGAACGTGGAAGCACACATGCATCTGCAGGCCCCACCGGGGACAGCGTTCTGGAGAAAAACCATGAGATACTGTGAGGGAAGGGATGCTCAGGAGGCCCCTGTTTGAACAGTATTGTCCAGGGAAGGTCCCTTAAAGAGTGATGTCCACACTGAGACCTGGAGGCTGAGAGGGAGTTGGCCGCAGGAGCGGAGGTGAAGCTCGGAGCTTTGGAGGAGCAGAGAGAAGCCTGGAGGAAGAGGGGTCCAGGTCACAGGGGCTGGCATTTGGCCCACTGTATTGGGCCGCCAAAGGTGCTGAGGGAAGAGGCTGATCTGATTTGCCTTCGTTTTATATTATGGAGAATTTTGAGTCTACACATGAGTCTAATGAATCCCCATTTACCTCTCGCCCACCTTGGCCAGCCCACCCCAGACTCTCTCCCAACTACTCTCTCTCTTCTGGGTTAAAGTGAAGCAACGCCCAGACATCTTATGATTCCATCTATAAGCATTTTGCTTTGTATCTCTAGTAGATAACGGCTCTAAACAAATAAAACTGCCATATATTATCATGTCTAAAAATTAATAAAAGCTCCTTAACATCGCCAAATATCCAGCCGGTGTTCACACCTCCCCATTGCCTCATAAATGTCATAAATGTTTATTTTTAAGTCAGTCTGCTTGGATCAGAAGCCAAATTGGGTTCACACATGGGGATTGGTGGATATGGCTTCTAAATCTCAACCTCTAGGCTCCTCCTTCATCTCTCCCTCTCCCTTTTAATTGCAAGTCTGGGGGAAAACTGGGTTGCTTGGCCTGTGGTTTCC